GGAGGGGAAGGATGGAGAGAAAGGTGTCAAAAGTGACTAAGAACATTAGGGAAAACAGATGGAAATTTGAATAAATTGCTGAGCTTAGTTAATAATATTGTATTAATATTGGTTCATTGTGACAGCTGTGTATCAATGTTGTATATCAGTACTGATACAGTTATGACAAATGTACTGCAATAATGTAAGATGTAAACAATAGGGAAAACTAGATGTGGGGTGTATATGAACTGTCTCTACTATCGTAACTTTTTTGTAAATCTAAAGCTATTCTAAAAAAAAATGTATTTAAATAGAAAGTGGCCCAAGATTTTAAGACCAAATAAATTGGAAAATGATAATGTGCATGACAAAAATAGGGAGTTTGGGGAGGTATTTATGTGGAACTTTGGAAAAATTGGAATTGCTCCCCAATCTGGAACTCTTTGGGAGGAATGATAGAACAGAATGGCAGAGAGCATTTCAAAAGAACATAGTGAATAGGCTATTTGAATAGGCCTGTATATGTTAAAGAAACAGAATAAATAATTAATAACCTTCCAAAATAGAAAGCACCAGGCCCAGATGAGTTCACTGGTAAATTCTACTAAATATTTAAGGAAGAGATTATAACAATACTCTATAATCTCTTCCAGAAGATAGAGGAAAAGGCTATACTTCCTAACTCATTCTGTGAGGCCAGCATTACTGTAATACCAAAACCAAATAAAGACACTATAAGAAAAGAAAACTACAAACAAGTACCTCTCATGAAACTTACCTTCCCACCATTGAGAAACTAAGATCAGGAACAAGACCAGGATGTCCCCTCTCACCATTGCTTTTCAGCATCATCCTAGAAGTTACAGCTAATGCAATAAGACAAGACAAGAAAAGTTTTGCAAATTAGAAGGGAAGAAATAAAACTCTTTGTTTGCAGATAACATGATTGTTTTTGTAGAAAATTCAAAACAAATCAACCAAAAACTCTTAGAATTAAGCAATTATAGCAAGGTTGCAGTATACAAGATTAATGTACAAAAGTCAATCACTTTCTTTTATACCAGCAATGAAGAAGTGGAGTTTGAAATTAAAAACACGTTACCATTTACATTAGCACCCCCAAAATTGAAATACATAGATAAAAAAACTGATGAAGGATGTCAAAGAAGAACTAAATAAATGGAAAGATGGTCCATGTTCATGGATAGAGAGACTCAATATTGTCAAGATGTCAGTTTTTCCCAACTTGATCTGTAGATTCAACGCAATCTAAATCAAAATGCTACCAATTATTTTGTGGATGTTGGCAAACTTAGTTCATGCAAATAGGCAAAGACCCAACTCAATATTGAAGGAGAAGAACGAAGTGGGAGAACTGACACTACTCAACTTAAAAATTTGCTATAGGCCGGGCGCGGTGGCTCACGCCTGTAATCCTAGCTCTCTGGGAGGCCGAGGCGGGCGGATTGTTTGAGCTCAGGAGTTCGAAACCAGCCTGAGCAAGAGCAAGACCCCGTCTCTACTAAAAATAGAAAGAAATTAATTGGACAACTAAAAATATATAGAAAAAAAATTAGCCGGGCATGGTGGCGCATGCCTGTAGTCCCAGCTACTTGGGAGGCTGAGACAGGAGGATCGCTTGAGCCCAGGAGTTTGAGGTTGCTGTGAGCTAGGATGATGCCATGGCACTCTAGCCCAGGCAACACAGTGAGACTCTGTCTCAAAAAAAAAAAAAAAAACTTGCTATAAAGCTACAGTAATCAAGTCAGTATGGTATGGGCAAAAGAATAAACAGGTGGATCATTGAAACAGAATAGGGAACCCAGAAATAGACCCACATAAATATAGTCAACTGATCTTTGACAAAGAAGCAATGGCAATACAATGAAACAAAGATAATCTTTTCAACAAACGGTGCTGGAAAAATGGAACATCCACATGCAAAAAGAATGAATCTAAATATAGACCTTATACCCTTCACAAAAATTAACTCAAAATGGATCATAGACCTAAATGTAAAATGCAAAACTATAAATCTCCTGGAAGATAAGATAGGAGAAAACCTAGATGATCTCAGATGTGCCAATGACTTTTTAGATATAACACCAAAGGTACAACCCATAAAAGAAATAATTGATAAACTGGACTTCATTAAAATTAAAAACAATGTAAAGAGAATGAGAGGATAAGTCATAGACTGCAAGATGCAAAATACACATTTGATAAAGGATTGTTATATAAAATACAAAGAATACTTTAAACTCAACAATAAGACAAAAACCAATAGAGTGTAAAAATGCACAAAAGACCTGAACAAGACACCTCAAGACAAGACACCTTCCTTCCAAGGAAGATATACAGATAGCAAGTAAGCATGTGGAAAGCTGTTCAACATCATATGTCATTAGGGAATTGTAAATTAAAACAAGAATGAGATACCACTACACACCTATTAGAATGGCCAAAATCCAAAACACTGACAACACCAAATGCTGACAAGGATGTAGAGCAACAAGAACTCTTTGCTGGTGGGAATGTAAAATGGTATATCCGTTTTGGAAGACAGTTTGGCAGTTTCTGACAAAACAAAATATATTCTTACCATAGGATCCAGTAATCACACTCCTTGGTCAATACCCAAAGGAGCTGAAAACCTATGTCCATGGAAAAACCTGCACATAAGTGTTTCTAGCAGCTTTATTCATAATTGCCAAAACTTGAAAGCAAGCAAGATGTCCTTCAGTAGGTGAATGGATAAATAAACTGTGGTTCATCCAGACAATGGAATATTATTTGGCACTAAAAAAAAAAAAAATGAGCTGTCAAGTCATGAAAAAACATGGAGGAACCTTAAATGCATATTACTAAGTGAAGGAAGACAATCTGAAAAGGCTATGTACTGTGTAATTCCAATTATATGACATTCTGAAAAAGGCCAAACTATAGAGATGGTAAAAGGATCAGTGAGTGGTTGCCAGGGGCTGGGGAAAGGGAGGGATGAATAGGCCAAGGATTTTTAGGAGGTGAAACTATTCTGTAAGATACTACAATGGTGGATACATGTCATTTTACACTTGTCAAAACCCATGTAATATGTATCACCAAATGTGAACCCTAATGTAAGCTGTGGACTTTGGGTGACAGTGTGTCAAGGTAGGTTCATTGATTTTAACAAATGTACTACCATGGTGTGGGATGTTGATAGTGGGGAGGCTGTATGTATGTGGGGACAGGAAGTATATGGGAACTCTCTGAAAGTTCCACTTATTTTTCCTGTGAACCTAAAAATGCTCTAAAAAATAGTTTGTTAACTAACAAAAAAAAAGTACGTATTGAGGTCTGAGGCAACAATGGCAGTTTTCACAAAGGAGCTCCAGAGTCTTTCTCCATTAATCTGCTTTTCTTAAAGGTACAATCAATCTCTGGAAAGGTTTGTATTAGATGGGGAGAAGTACATGAAATTCAGTCTGATTTTAGAATCTGTGAGTAGTAGTATATCCTAATTTAGTTAAGTTCTAAGATCATTTTTAATAGATTGATATAGTTGTTCGTCTTGCTTTTACTGTAGCAGATTCTGTTGAGTATATAGAAACTAAAAATGAAGAGATAAAAGTAGCCATTTTATTGGTTGGGTACAGGTGGTGTGAGTTATATCATCTTTTGTGTCCAGGAATAGTCTTATTGTTCCAAATTCAGAAAATTGTTCATTTCATTTTTGCACTTGGAAATTATGCTTCTTCATAGAAATGATCAAGATAAATAACTTCCAAAATTATATTTTTCATCTCAGTTGTTATGACACTGTATGTAAAAATTAACACCTACTCTTTAAATATTTAGGTAAATGGATAGTTTGCCTTAGACAAAAATGCTCTGAAATACTCTGAAGACTTTCATTTCTTCTTTTGTTTTTTTGAGACAGGGTCTTGCTCTGTCACCCAGGCTAGAGTGCCATGCTTACTGCAACCTCAAACTCCTGGGCTAAAGCGATCCTCCTGCCTCAACCTCCTGAGTAGCTGGGACTACAGGCATGTGCCACCATGCCCAGCTAATTTTTTCTGTTTTTAGTAGAGACAGGGTCTCACTCTTGCTCAGGCTGGTCTTGAACTCCTGAGCTCAAGGGATCCTCCTGCCTCAGCCTCCTAGAGTGCTAGGATTACAGGCTTGAGCCATCGTGCCCGGCCTTTACTCTGAAGACTTTCATATAGACAGAAACACTCTGAATGTGAAAAGTAACATATCCTCAATTTTTAGAGTAAATAAGCAACTTGCTGAACAAATGTTGTACACAATTTATAGTCAAATAATTATTTATGTAAATTTCATATTCCTAATGGAAAAAAGTAAATAATCCATGGGCTACACTATTCTAGTAATGCAGTGTTTCCAGAAAGGCTTGAGGGAGATGAGGAATTTTGTGAAAAAGCATACTCTAAAATTACCTTTGATTTTATTTGGTTTTAGTCGTAGTATTTATTTTTATTTTCAATGACATTAATGGACATCATGAATTTTTATTTTTATTTCTGAAGGGGGGAATGAGTTTTAAAAGGTTGGTTTTAATAATGTTTTTAAATTTATAAATCTGTTGACATGTTTTTCAATTTAAATACTTATGTGATTAGACTTTCTTAGAGCTTTTTGACTTTGACGTTGATGATGACCACGATAGTGGCAGGTAACAGTTATTGACACTCCCTACATGCCAGGCAATGTTCTAAGCACATTACCTGTTTTAGCTCATTTTATCCTCACAACATACACAGAAATATTGTTGGTATCTCCAATTATAGATGAGGGAACTGGCCTCATGTTAATGTCAGGTATTAATATTTATTATTGTTAGGGCCCTTGTATCTATATAAATACTTTTGCTAAATATTAATGAATGCTTTAGAGATTTTTGTAATGTTATCCTTTGGTGGTATTTGAATAAAAATTTATACAGTAGCCACTGCTTCTGTTCTTTTCAGGTATGCAGTTTTGTGTGGCTATGTATCTGAATTTGAGGGCTTACAAAACAAAGTCAACTATGGACATCTCTTCAAGGTATTTCTTGACATTAAAAATATTTAAATGTAGCTATATGTTCCATTAACAGGTATAAATCAGATTATTCAACAAATTAAGCTCTAGGAATTTGTTATTTTTTTTAAAACAGGAAATGAAATGGCACTCTTTAAATAGTACTGTGACAAAAAGAATCAAACTATTAATATTTGGGTAATTAAAAATTATTATTATTATTCAAGATCCTGAAAGACGTCACAGAGTAGATGAGTATTATTTTTCAAAGATCGAGGATTAGCCTTTTGGTCATGAGCTCGCCAACATCTAAGTATGACAGGGACTAAGTAGTTAATGATATCTGCATGTCGACTTAATAAGGAAGTACAATCCAATCTAGAGGCTTAAATTTACCATGATAGATAAACAAAATAATCCACATATACATAATTTATTATTTGCATCTGGTTATAATAGCTCAATAAATAATCCCTTGGGGTCAATAATTACAGGGACGACCAAACAGTTTCGTATAATCATTTTGATAACGCCAGGGGAATAGATTCCTCTCCCATCTAGTTCTGCTATTTTTTCTTCCATTATACCCTGTTCCATGTCATTTGATGTCTGTAAGCTCACTTCTGATTCAGTGAGTATTAGCTAGGCAAGTCATGGACAGGCAAGCGTTTGACTTTGGCATTTTCTATTTTTATTGCAAAATTTTGGCTTTACATTATACATAACCTTATTAAATCATAGTCACAGTTCTGGTTGTGGTTGCAAGCGATCATTTTTGATAATCGAATTATTGATAATAATAATTATATTAACGATAGGGATGGGATGGGGACTGAGACAACATTATAAAAACTGCTTTAGCGTTTACTAGGCATTGGCGTAGTTCCATTCAACAACATCTGAAACTTGGGAGATGACTTTTCCTTTGTATGTTTCTTTCAGGAACATCTAGATAAAGCAATCCAACTTTTGCCTGAGGAATCCTTTTTGTATTACCTCAAGGGAAGATACTGTTATACTGTAAGTTGAATGTCCTTATTTATAAATCTTGTTTGAATATACTGTGATTTTATGTGATACATTTTCAGTGACTTATTTATGCTTTTATTTTTACCAAGTGCCTACTTTAGGGAGAATTATAATATCAGTATACATTTTATATGAATGTATAATATACATATTTTATAATTTTGTATGAGTTTATGGTTTCTACATATTTTAAA